TACCTATTACACGCGTTATCCGATTTGTACAAAACCTGTTTTATCCCATATGATGACAGAGTTTCCTAGTATAATCGTACGGTCGAAGCATCAATCTTTCTAGAAATAACAATAAAATTTTACCTCGGCAAAGATAATCTTTTTCTTTATTTCTAAACATGCGTTCGTCGACTATGAGAGACTGCGCATTATGATTGCGCAATTAGAATCCGTCACCAAGTAAAACCCGAGCCCATCCGAGGCTTGGCCTGGCTCGAAGGAGAACAAACTCGTCACACGTGTTCCACGTAGGTGGAATCTCATCGTGACGTGGGTTCGATCCGCGCCACCTTGAGATCAAGGAAACCAGTTGACTCAAACGATCGAAATCTGGAACGCACCGTGTACACCTTGTACTTGAATCCTCACCGACCTCCTCTCCCTCATCCAATTAACGATATCGCTTTACCGAGGAATTCCTTTTTTTTTTTTTTTTTCTAAAAAAAGTGCGTTTCGACGTCGAAACGACTTCACGCCTCTCCACGATTTTCCATCCAAGTCGAATCGTTAATCCCTCGTCGTCCATTTTCGTTTCCTCGATGCAACGATCATTTAAGGGGAAAGATTGGAAAGTAATATCGATAATATAATTTATCGATCTTTTTTTAAGTATATTTCACCTGTTTTTCCATTCCAGATTCTTGATCACCGGTTGTTACCGTGTATACCGATTTACATAATTATTATTTTACACGATGTGTTTATAGGATGTGTTTAGAGGGCCACCTATCGATATTCCCCTATATTTACACATTTATATCGATTTACATGATCACGAAAGTGTGTAATTTCTCGAGGAATATTTACACTATTCCTTCCCGGCCGAGTATGGCGCAATGTATACGCAATTATCGTAGTCCAGTTTCAACCAAGCTTAATTATTCAACATTGTTTCACGACTCTCCACTCTTGGAAATAAAATAACAACCGGCCAACGATGTATTGAATTATCAATAACATTTTCTCTTCCTTCAAACATACGAATCATCGGTTCAAATGATTCCATAAATATCTCCCAACACACCCACATCATACACCCAACGCAAAAAATACAACAGTGTCGATGGATTAATTTCCTCGCTCGCTCGCATCTCCTACGTTTCTCGACCAGAACATCACGATCGTCCTCTAGATTAAGAAATAAGGCAGGGGTTATTATGCCGCATTAAGGCCAATACCTCCACCTCTTCTGCCCGGTCCAGATTCTCTATTAGCGCAACGCGCAACGAACGCTTTAAGTACAAACACAACACCGGATCCCCCTCCTTTTTCCCCTCTCCTCCCCGGGTAATTCAATCGTGATTTCCTAACAGGGTATCGAGAGGGAGAGAGAGAGAGAGAGAGCGAGAAAAGGGGGAGCGAAACCAGTTCTCGGATAAAAGCGAGCCAGAGCGAGAGAGAGAGAGAGATAGGGAGCGAGTAAGGTCTGACCCCGGGTGAGCACCCGCGTCTACAGGGTGTCCGTCCAACCTAACGCCGCTACTCTTCGTCCGTTCATCGAGGAACGTGCTGAAGCCTTGGCCGGACATTCGATACCTGTACGCGCGCCCTTCGCGACCTTTTCTACGATATCTTGGAGGACGCTCGATGGATGGGAGAAATTAGAGAAGCGCGGGTACGGGGAGAGAAATGGGCGTGTTGTTTGGAAAGTTTGAGGAGAGAGGTTTTTCTCATTCGAGGTTAATTAAAATTGGTATTGGTATTGGAATTGAAGAAAGTTGGTTTTACGAATGTTGATGCGGGATTATGTTAAATTTTTCTGGACCGTTAAGATTAATCAATTGGGTTTGGTGGTTTTGAAGAAATTTTGTTTTTTGATTATTGGTACGTAATTGATACGTGTTTTGAACAGGTATTGAATCGTGTTACATTTTCGCGAAAGTTTGGATTCTTTGAAGATAAGTTTCTAAATATTTGAGGTGGTTGTACGATTTGGGGAAAAAAGGAGTTAAATTCTTTTGATTTTCAAGAAATTCTGAATGGTTAAAGTAATGAAGAAAGTTAGGTCATAGATGTGGAATTATGTTAAATTTTTGGAAGAGGAATTCTTTCGAGGCAATTAATTGGTTGAATGATTTTGAATGTATATATTCTTTTGAAGATGAAATTTAAAATTGACATGTGATTTGGAAAAAAAGGAGTTAAATCCTGTTGATTTTCAAGAGATTCTTTCTATTGATATATAAAATTATCTTAAATTTTTGGAAGAATGAAAAAAAATTTTTATCCCTTTAAAAAAAAAGATTCTGAATATTTAATTGCTACGTACTTTCGAAGAGAAGACGTTTGAATTCTTCGAGAACGAATTTTCCCGAATGTTAACACAGTCAACAATCGATACGATAGTGTTTTCAAAAAAAAAAAAAAAAAATTAGATTGTACGTATCGATGCACAGAATTATTCCGTGATTTTCCTCGAGACCTTGATAAATTTACACTCTCAAGCGATATGTAAGTGGCATAAACATATGATCTCATGCATCCTCCGAATCGTTTTCCAGTTGCAAACAAATTCTTCGTACTATCGTATTCCCTCTATGAAAAACGTATCATAAATAATTCTTTTTCTTTTGATCTTGATAAATTTTCAAACAAGTGCATCTTTAATCATCACTATGCACTATCTCCGTACGCGATCGAATCTTCAGATTAAACAACCAACGTGTTGCTCCTCGATCGTGCGACACATCCGATCGTTGCGGATTTAACGATTAATCAAATACACGTGAAATTATGAAAAAAATGATTCAAAGAACGATTTTATTCGTCCTCTTGGAAATAACGATTGGAATAAAACACGGAGGGAATGAAATGATTTGAAAATTTTCGAGCGATACGCGAGGAATTCCGTACACGAAGCGAGATTCGAATCACGATTTGCATTTGCTCCTGTAGCAGAGCGAGAGGAGGTTGGCCACAATAATATCGCGGCTTTGTACAATTCCAACCGTATGAGATCACGGAACGGTCGAGCGAACGAAAAACTCGAGAAAGTCATTACACAGCGCGGTGTTTTTGCTTTTTGCGCTCATTACTCCGAAACGCCATGTGGAGAGATACGATCGCGCTCGTGTGTTCGAGCACGAATATAAATTATTTACGAAATGAATTCGTAATACCGTGAATATCGTAATTCTCGAAAAATAAAATCTCCTTCATTCTCGTTCGAGCTAAGTAAATTAAATTAAGGAAAAATTTAGGGAAATCATTGTAATGTGTAAATGTGTAAAATCGACACAACCATTACAAAATTTCTTTTCTGCCCGAGGTAAGAAAATCTTGAATCAGAAGAAAAATCTTACTGTTACAACTCTAGACCAATGAAAGACCAATTGTAATCGTAGGTCAACGAATTCGTCTCATTGGGATGAGCTCCACGCCTAGTTGAACGAGAATATATAGTTCCATACTAAAAAAAAAAAAAAAAAAATAAACTTGCCTTGAATCTTGGTCTTGCACAGTTGAACAAGACTTGTATTCGTAATAAGACATCCTCCAACGTCGTAATTCCTATTAAAAAAAAAAAAAAAAGATATTCTTTCAAATAAGACAAAAATTGCCTCGTTATGTTTCCAAAAACATAATCACGGTATAAACGAATCATTAATAAAATTTCTTCACCACTGTTCGAGCACAAATATATAAAAAAAGAAAAAAATTCTTGAATTATACCACATTTACTCGAGTTATACATTAATTATAAAATTGTAAATCACTCCTTGTCGAAGATAATTCACCGATAACATCAACTACAAATCGCTAATAAAATTTCTCCATGATTGTTCGAACAACTAAAACCGTAAAAAATACGTATAAAATAAAATAAAACATTCGATTTCTCAAGCTGTTATATTATATTTATAACTTTTTCGTAATATCAAAGATAAATTATTAGGAATCAATCCTAATAAAATTTCTCCATGATTGTTTCCATTCGAAATACGTATATAAAATAAAATAAAATACTTCTCGACTTCCCAAGCTATCGTATTATTAGCAACAAGTCGATAAAATTTCTCCATGATTGTTCGAAATACCTATAAAATAAAATAAAATACTTGGACTTCTCAAATCATATTGCATTACAAAACTTTTTTCATTTAAAGATAATAATTGGTGGATAAAATTTCTCCGCTGATCGTGTTGGCAAATGTGAAATAGAGAATGCTCGATGCGATTCTCGAGCATTCTCCTACGCGCGGTCGATTCGTGGCCTTCCGGATGCCAGGATGGAACGGTGATGCGTTTCGTATGCAAAAATGCGATCCGCCAAGGGATCGCGGCCGATCGTCGCACACCACAGAATTCGAGAAAGTCGGGGAGAGAGGCGGTGGGAGCGACCGGTAGGCGTTTCAAGCTTGAGTAAATGCATAACTCGGCTTGCACAACAACCGCGCCACGCCACACCGTGATGTGTGTGTAATATTGTTTTCTTCCGTTTTGCCTTCCTCGTTCGTTCTCGCTGTCCTCGCGTGGCAACGCCGTCCGTTTTTCTCACGTCGGCTCTTATCCAGTTTATGGCCGATGCATGCTCTTATTTCCACGTTATTACTTTTAAGCCCGCTGTGGGCGAGCAGTTGTCGCAATTTAGCCCAGGTTCTCAGGTTCACACGTTCGCTAACGAGACGGAAATTTTCGAGTCGATCGATTTCCTTTGGCGATGATTTGTGTCTTCTGTAGGAATCTCTTCCACGATTTTTAGACTCGAATTTGTAACGTAATAGCGAAATATGACTTCCCTCCATTAATTCACGTATGTTTCGGATATTTCGGTGAAATTTCGGACTATCATATTCGAATCCGATTTTCGACAAATCTAAAAAAGTTTCGAAATTAAAAATTTCTGACTGAAGAATGTACTACATAAATCGTATACGTTACGTTATTCGAGTATTTTTTCCCGAGCTTCCGAATTCAATTTCTTAATATTCAATTTACAAAGTCCGGAATAAATTATCGTTAAATTATGTCGAATATATACAAGAAATTTTTGAACGACACGGCATTCCAACTAAAGTCCAATTCCTCTTATCTCTTCGTTTAAAACGATATTCCTGTTTCAATTATTATTAATCTAACTATATACTTGACATTCGTTCAACGCGATATGCGAAATATATATATATATATATTATTCGATACAAGGGACGGAGACAGAACATTTTTCCATTGAAACCGATGTAATTTTATAATCATCAAGCATGCTCTGATTACACCGTGTATTATTATAACGAGAAACATTATATACTAATTGATACAGAGAATCGGACCGTGTGTAACACGGAGTGAAAAACGAGACAGTTATCGATATCCTGGCGCGATGGAATACGTGGGTTAGGTGGGAAGGTACGTTTAAGTTGACCCGGTTACAAATTACCCACGATCGAAGTGGCGCATTTTGCCGGGTCAACGCGCTCCGTTTCAGTATTTTCGAGCTCGCGTTTCATCGACCCTTTCGTTTATTTATATTTAACAAGGTTAACAAAGATCAAGGTAGCGAAAAGAGTACCTAGAATGTAATTTATATTACGTTCACCAATGCTGAGTGTATATATATTTATATAATAAAATGTAGGATGACGAGTGCAAATATTCGAAATTCGCGAAAACTCTTTTCAACGGATGTGGCGATGCGATTTGTAAACTTTGCGAACTTTGCCCCCTTTCGAGTTTCCGGGTCGAGCAGATACTCGGCTAGATTCCACCAGATTCGTATATTTCGTTCAATTTTTAACGTACAAATTTTGGCTTTGTTTAGAAATGTGGAATAAGAGGCGATAGAGTAGAGTTATTGTAAATTATTCACAGGATAAATTGAAAATAAGTTGTTAAATCTTTAATCCTTTAACACGATTATTTTAGTTTGTTGTAGTCTTATTTGGAAGATAGAAGGGAAACGATGAAGTAAGTGTCTTGTGATAAACTATCACGCGAATATTATTCGGATTCTTTTATGGATATATATATATATATATATATCTGTTTGTATCTTAATTGCTTTAGAAGTTTCTAAGATAAGGGATTATTATCATTTTATTAGGAATTTGTATTGTATAAAACAATTAACACGTCGTTTAATCGCTACATTTTTATCCCGATAAAATGAAACTTTGTTAATCTCGTCGTCACGTTTTTGGTCTGTCAATAATGGCGTGCGAGTTCTAATCTAATTTTACATTGTTCCGCAATAATTCCGCGTAACAGATTATTCCTCGTTTCATTGCAGAAACGATATATCTGCCCGATAAATCTTTATTCAAAGAGAGAAAAAAAGAAAAGAAAAAAAGAAAAGAAAAAAAAAAAAAGAAATTTTCAAACAAATAAATCGATCAGGGTTTTTTTGTATGTAAATAAAATTCCAAACAATCGAAAAATCGGTCACTTAACGTTATTTACGATATTATGTCACCGTGTCGATAAGGTATCGTATGAATTTCTTTTCTTCACCGTTCCCTTTTATCGAACGATAACAGTGATAACAACCAAGACCAGATGCAATCTTCAGTATGTCATTGCATTGTAACCGCGCCTGATCACGTTTTCCTCTCGTTTTCGCCACCTTCGATCATGGAACTTCGAGAGATAGAAAAGTGGGACGTTATCGAGGAATATTTCAAGGATTTCTCTTATTTCTTCAACTTAGTGAGTCGTAGATTTTTCCTTTTTCCTAAGTTCGTGATTTTCGTTCGAGTCGGATCGGTTATAAATTCGATTACTAATTTATCGGGCGTGAAAGACACATTGGAGGAGGAGCCGATCGCTTTTGGAAACTGAGCGAAACGCGGATCTTTCATACGGATATCGTACGAATGAAAGGAATATTGGAAAATCGAGCGGAGTGACTCATTCGTTTGGTTTATCAATCGTTTGAAATTTTTTATCGACGAGCGCGATTGTGAAACTGAAATATCGTCCGACATTTTCGATACTCTTTTATTATACGCGATATCGAAAAGGAATTTTACTACGCGATGGTAAAGCAGAGAGGCACGAGAATACGAATGATTCAGAGAGATAAATGCAGAATGGCAATTAATCGACTGCGCGGCACGGTTCCCTGTGTGAACGAGACACAATGAACCGTCGATTAACTCCGATCCGAGGTTTTTCCAAGAAACCGCGTCGACGATTATTTCGACGTATTGTATTCCCCGTGGAAATTGCACCGTTTCCAATCCGCGGCTGCATTCCTTGAAAAACCGAGGCGAGCAGAATTTTATTGCGGACAGGCTAGATATCGTTGGTTGAAAGAGTCGCCGCGATAAAACGTTTCCCTCCCGTTGATCGCATGCGCGATACGCCCCGCGATCGCGAGTTGCGTTAAGGCCTTTTTTTTCTTCGAAATTTTTTCCCCGTAATTCCCCGTTATCGAATTTAGAATTAATTTAGATTAGAAATGTCGGATAGAATTAATCCGATTATTAAACGAATAATCCGAACTATTCGAGCTGGAAAGTTACAATAGTAAAATAATCAAATTAATGATAGATTGGATATATGTACTCGATGGAAATTTAAAAAGCGTTAAAAACATTATTTTTATTCGAATTTTTGGAGTTATTTTTTTTTTTTTTTTACTTTTATTTTTATTCGACGATTTTGAAAAAACGAAAATTATCTAAAAATTTCAAGAATCCTATGATACTGAATCCTCAAGAAACCGACTCCTAAAATAGCGAATTAGAAGATTCCAAAAATCCAGAAACCTGTGAAAATTTGAATCCTCAAGAACGTCATTTAAAAGTTTCAAAAATCCTACGATACACTTGAATCCTCAAGAAACCGACTCCTAAAACATCGAATTCGAAGATTCCAAGAATCCTGAAGAATCGAAACCTTTTCCTAAAATAGCGAATTCGAAGATTCCAAAAATCCAGAAACCTGAAGATTTGAATCCTCATTTAAAAGTTTCAAGAATACACCTGAATCCTCAAGAATCGAATCTTTCTCTCCTAAATTGCGTGAAGATTTGAATCCCACAGAACTAAGACTACTTTTCCAAATATCAAATCCGTCGTCTGCACCCAAAGATTTCGAAGATCCTCGGACAAAAAATTCCTCAGCACCTCTCAGAAGCCACTTCTCATCTCACCGTCCTCTTCTCACCATCCTCGGAAACAGAAAAATATAGTCTGAAGAGGCTTCATTTTTGTTAGATCGACGAGAATGGGGACGGTTTCATCAACCTTACGGAGTTGCGAAGCGCGTTGGACATCTGCGGCTTCAAGATGCCCGGATACAAGGTGCGGCAGATGATCGAGGAGTACGACGACAAACAGAGGTCGGAGCACAAGGGCCGATTGTCGTTCGAGGAGTTCGAGAAACTTTGCAAGGAATTGAAGGCGAACGAATTGGGATCCACGTTCAAGCAGGTCGTCTCGAAAAAGGAGAATTTGGAAACGTTGGGAGGGATTTCGGAAGCGTCGAGCGAGGGGACCACGCATTCGGTCAGATTGGAGGAACAGCTCGCCTTCAGCGACTGGATAAACACGAATTTGTCGCACGATCCTGACCTCAAACACCTGCTGCCAATAGACGCGGAAGGGAAGACGTTGTACGAGAAGGTCAAAGATGGGATTCTTCTTTGGTATGCATTTATTTTCCTCTTCTTATCGATCGATCATACATTATTTATCGACGAGAGATGGGCAAAGTTGCTTCGAATAAATAAATGAGCATTTCAAATAAAGTTATCGCTCTTAAGACAACTTTATTCGAAATTTTATACTAATTACTTTTTTAACTCGTTTCTGTTTACGAGTTTGTTTATGGAAACTGCAAATTTGTACATTTACGAACGGATTGTATCAACGATTTGTATTAAGCAACTTTCCAATTATTTATTTCATCACGCGTTGATACGTTCTCGAATCATCGTACCAGTGATTCCTCTATTCCCTATTTTCCAGCAAAATAATCAACCACTCCTGCCCGGACACGATCGACGAGCGAACGATCAACAAGAAGAACCTAACCCTGTACAAGAAGCACGAGAACCTAACCCTGGCTCTCTCGTCCGCCCAAGCGATCGGGTGCAACATCGTGAACATAGACGCCCACGATCTGACTAAAGGCTCGCCCCACCTTGTCCTCGGCCTCCTCTGGCAGATCATTCGAATCGGTTTGTTCAACCAGATCACCCTCGAAAATTGTCCGGGCCTCGCCACCCTGTTGCAAGACGGAGAGCGTATCGAGGACCTGCTCAAACTCTCGCCCGAGTCGATCCTGCTCAGATGGGTGAACCATCACTTGGAGAACGCGGGCATCGTGAGAAGGTGTCACAATTTCCAATCGGACATCACCGACTCGGAGATCTACACGTACCTAATCAAACAGATCGCGCCCAACACGGCGGGCGTCACGCTCGAAGCAATGATGGAGCCGAACCACACCTCGAGGGCGGAAATCATGCTGCAACAGGCTGCCAAGCTCGGGTGCCGCAGTTTCGTAACGCCTAGCGACGTGGTCAACGGCATATACAAGCTGAACCTCGCCTTCGTCGCAAACATGTTCAACAATTATCCAGGATTGGACAAACCGGAGAACAACATCGGGCTTGAGTCGTTGGAGGAGACCAGGGAGGAGAAGACGTATCGAAACTGGATGAACTCGATGGGCGTGGTCCCCCACGTGAACTGGCTCTACTCGGACCTGGCCGACGGCCTGGTCATCTTCCAGCTTTACGACATCATCAAACCGGGCACGGTGAATTGGAACCGGGTGCACAAAAAGTTCACGAAGCTGCGCAAGTTCATGGAGAAGCTGGAGAATTGCAATTACGCGGTCGAGCTTGGGAAAACGATGAATTTCTCGTTGGTGGGGATCGCCGGCCAGGACATAAACGATGGGAACGCCACGTTGACCCTCGCGTTGATCTGGCAATTGATGAGGTCGTACACGTTGTCGATCCTCACCTCGTTGGCCGGCACTCAGGGCAGCACCTTGGTCGAGAAGGAGATCGTTCAATGGGTGAACTCGAAGCTTCAGGCGGCAGGGAAGGCGAGCGGTATCAAAGGGTTCCAGGACTCGTCGATAGCCGATGGCAAGGTGGTGATCGATCTGATCGACGCCATCAAGCCCGGTTCGGTGAATTACGACCTCGTGAAGGAGGGCGGTACCGAGGAGGTATGAGGAGGATTGTTTCTTTATTACCTTTGCAAATCGCTCGATTTCGTCGAGTTTCACTCGCTCGAGATCGGTTTCAACCGTTTCTGAGTTACGACCTCGTAAACGTCTCGAGTCAACGTCACGACTCGACTTTTACCGCGTTCGTTTCGAAGCTTCTCTTTCGGAGGAGAAAAAGAAAGGATAGGATCGAAATACTTATTTTTCATATCACGAATAAATTTCTGATCGAACGAATTTGCAAAGCTCATCCCTCGATCTGATCCACGATCAAATCGATTCGATTTTAACTCTGCGTTCACGTTTCAGGAGAACCTGGACAACGCGAAATACGCGATATCCTTGGCCCGAAAATGCGGGGCGCGGGTTTACGCGCTACCAGAAGACATAACCGAGGTGAAGCCGAAGATGGTGATGACGGTGTTCGCCTGCCTGATGGCGATGGACTACATCCCCAATATGGATTCCGTGAAGCAGAATAACGTGATGAACAACAGTCAATAATAATGGCGCGCGCGAAAACGTCCGCGGGAGGAACTGAGTGTCGACTGAGTCGCGGTGTATCATCGCCGTGCCTCTTTTACGAGCGTAATAACTTTGTATATACACTTAGGTTAGGGTAGGCTTGTTTTCCGAAACGAGAGGAGCAAAAGAGAGAGAGAGAGAGAGAGAGAAAGAAAAGAAAAAAAGAAAAAAAGCAAAGAAAGAAACGAAAGAAAATGTGTGTGTGTGTGAGAGAGAAAGGGAAAAAGGAAAACGAGAGAAACGAGAGAAGGGGAGGAATCGCTTGACAGAGAGAGGGACGACGATTAAAAGCAGAGTTACGTTCCATGCGTTTGACCATATTTCGTTTCGTGGCAGACATGTTTGCGCGACTTGAATTATGAATAATTATTGTTAGGGGAACGAAAGTGAGTTTTTTTCACAAAGTGCGATGATTTCGAATTTTTTGTTTTTTTTTTTTTTTTTTTTTTTTTTATTAAATTGAGGTGGAACGAAAGTTAGAGAAAATTGGAGCCAATTTTTTTCGGGCCAAGAATCGTCGCAGGATGAAGTGAAAAATGATTGTAACGACGAGTAACGCTTCAGATAATACATACACTTTTTCTTGTCTCTCGCGTAAGGAAAAAAATGATCCGAATGATTTGTACGTCGCTTATCGATCACAAGTTGTACGTCGAGTACTTCATTCTTGTATCTCTTGCGATTATGATACAAGGGGTTCTCCTTCTCCGATGTTTCAATCATATCTTTGTCTCATTCTTGATATTCCTAATCGTGATCATTTTAAGATTTGTATAAATCGATCGAAACGGTCTCTTCTCGATGGTATCGATCACGTAGAAAGGAAGGAAAAGTCGATATATATCCGGACACCGAAAGAACAATCCGAAACTCGATGGAAACGAAATAATTCGCGTATACCGGATATACGTGGCTTTTAAATTGCCGATTATATACATATATATTATATTTACATTCTTAAATCATATTATATATACATTTGAAATGTGTACACGTATTTGATACTGCGAGTGTGAAAATTGTCATAACTTTACGATGGCAATCAGTCTTCGATCAATCAGTCAATCAATGGATCAATTCGAAAAATGGAAATTTCTAGAAGAATTACGAATAATGTATTTAATTATATATATAAAAAAAAAAAAAGAAAAAAAAAAGAAAAAAAAGCTTTCACCGCGAGATACCATTGTCCAATGTTCATCTTCAACTTGATCTCCGTAAAAAATATATCCCAAACTTTTGTATCTAATATTTCCGAATATTTAATTTTAATCGGACGACATAAGTTTTAAAAATGTTAAATATACACGATGTTTAGATGCATTTTAAGAAGAGAAGAAATTACCAATCGAAGGCAATAATTAAAAAAAAAAAAAAAAAAAAAAAAGAAAGAAAAAGAAAAAAAAGGAAAAAGAAAGAAAGAACGAAGAAAAAATACATTATACAAGGATCGCTATTTCTTTCGTTGTTGTAAATCTGTGGTGTGTCAAGCTTACTTTTTCGTACCCAATCTCGTTTCCGGCGAAACAACCGTGTATGAACCGATTCCAACCGATTCGACGAAAACGAAACGAACGCACAATGATCATTGTAATCGTGCCATTATAATTAATCGTAATCGTGATTGGACGCAATATTTAACGATCGACTCGAGTGAAACGTACTTATGTGTGTATTTAATGGGGAAAAAAAAAAAAAAAAGAAAGAAAGAAAAAGAAGAAATAATGAAGCGCGAACAGAGCGCGTTTTACCGATCGATCTTCCTCGAAGAACTCACATTATACAGCGAACGATGAAGCAACCCTGGTTCCTCCTTGATCGTACGCGTTCTTTTGCGTATAACGCATTGATACACATTGCGTACCGATCTATATCTTAGAATGTATTTTAGAGTAAAATTCTCGAGAGTTGGCCACGAGGATATTTCTACTATTGGAGAGTAAACTTTCGCGCAATGTCTACTTACGAAAAATAATTTTCGAAAGCATGTTTCGAAAATTTTATTCTGTGTTCGCATCTCGTGCAACAAGTGCGCGTGGCGAGTTATTCGACGAATCATTCTTTCGAAACTGGCGAGCGAAGCGGAAAACGAATCGACTGAACCTTACTTTATCTTTGTACTCGTTTATATTTGTTTGTTTCTTTCTTTTTTTCTTTTTTTTTTTTTTTTTATTAAAAATTTTACGCTCCACGTACGGCGTCACGATCGTGTTATCTCGAGAAATTTGTATATCGAAGTTTAGCTTTTAGACGTTTTAGAAATCGCGCCACGTTTCGAGAATTTATATAGCGGACTTTTTATAAAACCGCGATCGTATACGCGTTCTCAATTAAATTAAGATTAAGGAATCGTTGCTTGCGGAGTAAACTGGCAGATGTTTGATCGTAGCTTGACGAAGTAAACTTAAACGAAAGTGCTCCATCCATCGATGCTTGGAGTATTCTTGCATGGAAGTGAAAAAGAAAAAAAAAAAGAAAGAAAGAAAAGTTTCTTAAAGAGACGAGTCAAGCATTTCTTAATTAACGATAATAATTCTTCGATAATGATTAAACGAAATCGCAACGTCAAATTGTTATCCATTCCACAGATAACATTCGTACCAGGCTGCATTTTTTTCTCTAGTCAGAATGCGAAATTACATTCCGTTCTGATCGGAGACGAACCGATTCGAAGGATGAAGACGAAGAAGAGGAAGAAGAAGAAGAAGAAGAAGATTAATGGAAAAAACGCTGAAGAGTGGCGTTTATTCTTGTGATTTCGAGGAGGCGTAAATCTTTTTTTTAAGAGGGCCGTTTGCAATCTGCGCAATTTTAGATTTAAGGATTAAATCGAGGAAAAGAAAAGTTTTTGCTCTTCCCCCCTCCCCCGCCGCCCCCCCCCCCTTCCTCCTCCAAAGCAAAAGTAAGATTAGGGAAAAAAGAAAAAGAGAGAGAGAGATGCGCGCGAGAGGAATGTCGGATCATCGATTAGATAAGTTTTCTTTCGCTGTACATTTGTTTTAATCGATTCGTCAATTTCAATAATTTCAACTTTTCAACAATGATCGCTGATGAACTAAGAAATAAAGAAAAATGCGTACGTTCACATTAAAAATTTTACGCTCCACGTACGGCGTCACGATCGTGTTATCTCGAGAAATTTGTATATCGAAGTTTAGCTTTTAGACGTTTTAGAAATCGCGCCACGTTTCGAGAATTTATATAGCGGACTTTTTATAAAACCGCGATCGTATACGCGTTCTCAATTAAATTAAGATTAAGGAATCGTTGCTTGCGGAGTAAACTGGCAGATGTTTGATCGTAGCTTGACGAAGTAAACTTAAACGAAAGTGCAATCCATCGATGCTTGGAGTATTCTTGCATGGAAGTGAAAAGAAAAAAAAAAAAAAGAAAGAAAGAAAAGTTTCTTAAAGAGACGAGTCAAGCATTTCTTAATTAACGATAATAATTCTTCGATAATGATTAAACGAAATCGCAACGTCAAATTGTTATCCATTCCACAGATAACATTCGTACCAGGCTGCATTTTTTTCTCTAGTCAGAATGCGAAATTACATTCCGTTCTGATCGGAGACGAACCGATTCGAAGGATGAAGACGAAGAAGAGGAAGAAGAAGAAGAAGAAGAAGATTAATGGAAAAAACGCTGAAGAGTGGCGTTTATTCTTGTGATTTCGAGGAGGCGTAAATCTTTTTTTTAAGAGGGCCGTTTGCAATCTGCGCAATTTTAGATTTAAGGATTAAATCGAGGAAAAGAAAAGTTTTTGCTCTTCCCCCCTCCCCGCCGCCCCCCCCCCCCTTCCTCCTCCAAAGCAAAAGTAAGATTAGGGAAAAAAGAAAAAGAGAGAGAGAGATGCGCGCGAGAGGAATGTCGGATCATCGATTAGATAAGTTTTCTTTCGCTGTACATTTGTTTTAATCGATTCGTCAATTTCAATAATTTCAACTTTTCAACAATGATCGCTGATGAACTAAGAAATAAAGAAAAATGCGTACGTTCACATACACATACGATGTTCTATGATGCGTATATGAACGTGTGTATGTGTGGGTCACCGTAGATATATAATTTAATGTATCCGTAATTTAAATAAAAACAAATTTATCTAATAAGATAACGCGGATTCTTGCTTGAAAAGTTTCTCCAAAATGAACGAGACATTTAAATATCGTATCATTTTTATTTCGTCCGTTTATTATTGCTGTACATACGATAAGATATTGTCTATTGTACATTAATGCCTCTGCTATTTTTAACCTAGAATTTAATGCTCGAAGATTATTTTATTTTTTGATATATTCTTTTTTTCTTTTTTTTTTTTTTTTTTTTATTTCGTTCAGCACTCAAAACGTAATTCACTTCATTGGAAATATTCTGTTCACCTCCGAATTCGCCATAATACTGGTTATCGATGGTTCAGGAATGTCGGCCAATTCTTTCTTGGCAGCTCGGATGTCTCGCAAAGATAGATTCACGTATTGCGATATGGCAGAGAGGTTTTTCTTTTCGTCGGAACCCAGAGTGCCCATCCTCGTTATCGATGAAACGAATTGATAGTCGCTCACGAAGATACGACTAGTTGAAGTCTCCTAGAAAAAAAAGAAAAAAAAAAAGAAGAAAGTTTAATTCAACTCCTAATATTGATAGAATTTAATTAATTTTCTTACATACGTAAAATAATAAGAGAAAGGGATATTCAAGGGATATTGCACGATTGCAATTTCAATTTTGACAAAAAGAAAATGGATCAAATTCCTCAACGATGAGAAACGATCTCTTAAAATGGCTCACTAGATGAGAATGAAGATCAGGCTCGACGACAATGTTGGCACCGTAAGATCCGAAATAGAAAGACGCGTAGTAGCTGCAATTATTCAAATTAGTCGTCTTCTGGATCACTATAGTCTCGCTCGGAACCTTGTTCAACTGTGGCAAAGATTCCAACTCGTATCTGTTGTTCTTTATCTTGTTCATCATCCTCTTGGACGGATAGTGATTCATGCCGATCGTGACCGCGCACTGTCCAATCGTAGTGTTCTCCAAAATGTCGAACGTCCCGTCCGGAACACCGTTCAGATCGACACCGATGTTGAACCTCTCTGATATCAATTTCACATCGTTCAGAAATTCGATCTGGATTCGATCGTTCACTATCAGATAATCGACACCGTGCTCGTTGAATTTTATCTCGAATGGTTCGCTGCTGATCAACTGTCTCATTTCTTCTTCCGACACGTCCATTCTGTTGTCGTTGGTCAGATCCACGCTCTGCCTCCTCGTGTTTGCCAGGTGACACCTCAACCCGTCGGATCCTTTCGGCCTGCAGAACAGGTTCATGGCCGTGTAGTTGAACTTTTGCACTCCGTCGTGGTTCATCGGGGTCGAGGTGATGTTCATCTCGACGTCGAAAACGTATTCCGGCCCGTGTTTCCACGCGCTCTCGTCCACCGCCACTTGGGCCACTGAAACGAATTAAGTTTTTCACCGATCCGCGCCGAGTGGAGGAGCTTCGTTATTGATTTTCTATCGTCGTCAGCGATGTTTCATAAATTATGATTAATCGTTCGTTGATCGAAGATGGAATAACAAAAATAGTAAATGTTTGGACGTAATATCCTAAACGTTGATTTGGTTCAATTGGATCTATCCGACATTTATCAATTCGTGTAAATTGAGCGAACGAGCGAGTGAAAGAAATAATAAGTTTATTATTTATTTTATGGATTAGTAAAAACGATTAACGCTTCTGATCATTTATTTTTCTCCGTGTGAAAGGAAGCTATGATTTGCAATTAGTTATGAATTATCATTCACATAAGCAGTTCCTGGCCCGATTCAGCCAGATTGACGATAAAGACGGTTAAATGGAAAATTGGCTTACCGACCTAAGAAGAACGGAATTAATGAGACGAGCATGTCGTACCGCACCGCTCTCAACTGGTTTAACACTCTTCTTCGGCTTGAAGGTCCTTTTATATCAGCCACACACTCTCCGATGACCTCGGCGTGTAATTTAATTAAGCCATCCCACCATTCACGATGTAATCATTATGTCAACCTGGAAAACTCGCTATTTTCGAGAAACGAAATGAAATTCGATATGTACTTCCATCGATTAACAGAATTGATTCCTTATTATATATCGAGATGTATAAATTAAATTTTCTTGAAAATACCTTTCAGCGATAACGGTAAAGTTAATGGAGAATGTAATTCGAGTGATCTTTAATCGCATGTTGGGATAAAGTGTTATTCATTTTAATTAATTACTTCAATTCCGTATTTTAAACGGATCGTTTTTACAAAATGGTTTCTACTGTATCTATCGTCGTTATCGTAATTTCATCGTATGCTGAATCGGCAATGCTGAGAATGATATCGAAACGATAAGAATACATCGAATCTCGAATAAGACGAGAGAAAAAAAAAAAATTACGGACAAAACGATACTCGATATCAATTTTTACACCACAATTCACGTTATCCATATATATATAAATTTATTCCTTTCTTTATTATCAAATCGTATATTAATATTCAAGTGGAATCACTTCATACAACTATACTATACATTATTAAAATTTCTTCGTATACTTTCATATTTTTATTTAAAACAAAATCGCATTCTTCTATTTCAACCTCTATATCACTAGATTTTGTTTCATTCCTTCCCTGAAACGTAGATTCACGACGTGCTCGTAATTTAAAATTGGCAACGGCTCTTTGGCAGGTTCTATGTCCACCAACTCCACGGATGATACATCCTGCACGATAAAATCTCTCTCCGCTAGAGTCACCATCTTGATGTGCATCTCTGTCTGACTACGGAACGTGTCGTCGCTCACGCGCATCTTGCTCGTAGATTTGCTCTGCAAAAGAACAACGCGCCAGTTGCGAACGTATGTCATTCTCCGTTACGAACAGGCTTTACGAATCGACCATTGTCTCGCAGATACGTACGATCTTAACGTTCAATTCCGATTTTCCATCAACCGGTTCCTGCAATTTCATGCATCTCTTGCTCTCCATGGTCTTCCCAATCACGACGACAGAGTTCGATCGTCGTTGCGGCAACGAGAGAATTTCTAATTCGTAATTTTTCCTCTCCTCCTTCTCCCCCCTTCCATCGTTCCTCCTTTGGCCACGCGTAACCACGTCTTCATCGTATTCGAAAACGTTGAACAAGGTGGGGCATTCGCCCAACGCGTATCTCTCTCTTGCAAAGAATACCGGCAACGAGTTCACATTTTCCCTCAGATCGGTTCCAATGCTCAATTCTTTCACGATGCTTCGTATGATGTTCAATTGTTCGTCCTCGATCATCGTTGGAAGCCGTAGACTTTCGATACCCCGCGGGCTGAATTCGATCAAAAAGGAATATTCCATGCTGCTCGTCTCGGGATAATGCTTTTCCGCTATTGCCACGTCCTCGAAACGGCAGTATAACCTGTCAATCGCTTCCGGCCGACATCTCATCGTGCTCGTCACGTTTATAATCAACAGTGGGTCGTCTAGAACATCGGACAACAGATACGTGAGATTCGTGTGGAACACGTATTCCGGGCCGAAAATCCACTCGTTTGGACGATCCACGAGAATATTGGCCGCTGGATGAGAGAAAAAAATTAATTTTAGAGGTTATAATTTTCGTTTAACGGAAATAGAATACGAAAAGGTTTAATCTGGATGGAATTTTGGAAAAAAGAAACGGTTTTCAACGGATCTCGAAAGAAGATGGAGGTGAGAGAATAATTAACAGAGTTTAATTAATTGATTCTTGGATTAATTGGCTTACCGACCTAGAAAGAATGGGATTAATACGAAGTTCATGTTGATGCGGCGTGTTTAACTAACCGAATTGGCTTCTTGCGGTCGAAACCTCCTTTATAGCAGTGGCCACTGTAGAAAGAATAATGGACACCATGTGACGAAGTTAGCTTCTTCGGACCGCGCTTGCGTCCGTCAATTCGATGTAATCCTTGTCTGCGTGCGGCGTAGTGATGTGTACGTATATTACGTGCAACTTACGTGTATACATCACTTTAAAGCTTTTACACTTTGATGATTAGACGAGTTGGTTTTAGGGAAATCGTATATTCTCGTCGTAAAATCGAAAATCACTCTTAGAATTGACGATCAGGAATTTGAGAAATTATGATATTTCGATTGATAAAAGAAACATTACAAGAATTGGCAAAATTACAAAAGAATTGATAAAAAGTGACAAAGTATATTTTGATGTTGGGTCAAATCAAATACGCGACGAGTTAATTTTCAATCAAATTAAAAAATTGCTCCATTCATTTCGATCGGGAATAAAATTATTCGATTAAAATGTGATTCATAGGAAACTAGAAAAAATGGTCGAATTAACTTCCATTTGACACTTCAACGATCGTAATCTGTAGTATGAATGGCTCGTATTGCCGAAGTGTGTTATTCTATTAAACTCGTTACGTGGTTAATGAAAGAGGCTATTTTTGCCTCGTTTGCATTATTTATTTTCCTAGAAGTGGCTCGAACGGATCATGAAATCCTGATCTTCAGAAATGATCTTGCAATCGTTTCGCAAATATTTTTTTATAATATCTTTTATAATAATGTTAAGATAGATCGTTCTATTCTCATATTTTAATTGAGAAATGGACAAGATAAAAATTTTTGCCTCGATGCCACGTTCTACGTCCAACGTATTTCTCTGAATTCGATAATAAAGCTTAAAGCAGCACGATTTATGCATTAACTTCAAAGAGAACTTTGCGTGTGCGTTTGACAGTCGAATATAACTGCTCTCTCAAAGCGTGAGCCAGCCACGTTTAACTGGTTGATGTCGCTTTTGACAACGAGTTGTTACTGACACTCTCATCTATTGCTCTATGTTTCCTTCCTCTCAGTTTTGAGAAAATAAATAATTCATTCGAAACGAATCGTTCTTATTTTTGATCAATCTAAGAAGTGTGCTGATTTATAAAACGGAAAAGGAACGAAGTAATAGAAATAATGGAAGTTAATCACAAGCAAGCTTGTTAATTCTTCTAGTTATCGTAATTTTCGAAACTTCAATTGTATATATATATATATTATGACAGATTATTTCCTTTTTAATCTTAAACGAGATAATTAAGCACTGATTGATGCAATGACGAGAGGAATATTGCGTTTTTCTAAGAATTTTCAATTCTTTAAGAAGAAAAGCAATAAAAGAACATTGAGAAGAGTTTTAGAAAGGAAATTTAAAAATACAAAGGAAGATTATTTATTCTCCTTTTTGTTAATCACCGATTTCTGAATTTGGCGGCGAGCCAAAATCGATGCGATATATAAACGTTGGCCGGATGTCTTCGCAGAACACGGGATGCTTATCCGTTTTGGCTAACAGGTGGGGGAGTTCTGCCTGTCGTGCACGAGTTCCTACTTTGCACCGTGTCCTTGTGCTGCCTCGGTGTTGGAGGGATCGGTGGTAGGGGGCACGAGACACCTGCCGCTCGACCGGAAGTGGATGGTCTTCACTCGGCTTTAAAGCATTTGCCAACACCTCGACAACCATTGTGCAGATGATGATCGTTCAAGGTTTTTATGCTTTTTTTTCTTCTCGATTTCTCGTCTTTTTTGCGATTCTTTGGTCGAACAGTGATAGAAAAAATTTGATACTCGATAATATATCGAAAAGTTCGATCGAAATGGAAATGGAGGAAGCAAGGAAAGAGAAAGGATTGTGCAATAATGTTCGAACAATATAACGGTTTACTAAGTGTTTCTAAGATTCTAATTGATGGATTAGATACAATATTAAAACAACGATTAAGATTTATTTCATCGTTGTCTGGTGAAAGTATTTTTTGAAAAAATGTATTATGTTTTTAATTACTCATCGAAACATTGGAGAACAATGTAATTACAACGAAACTGTAATTGCAAAGAAAATTTCACGAACAAATTGATGTAAACTGATGCACGATATTCTCGTATATTAAAGTATAGAAGAGTTTGGCTTCTATAAATGAAGCACAATAAAGCAAGCAAAGAGCGAAAGATTTAAATTTCGTTCGAGGATCGAAATCGGTATTTAATCATTACTATCTCTACAGATAATTACATCGTTTGGAATTGAAATACCCTAAAGCGAGAGGATTAAATCATTTCGATCAACTCTAAACGTACGTATTTTATTTTACACGAGAAATACATTTGTTAAAGATTAACCTTCATTTGTACTCGGGAATTCGCTCCAAATTAGTGTACGCGTACAAGCTGGTGGACGCAGGGTTCACGATTTCCGGGATCGGAGTTCGGGCAGGATTTATACTTTTCAAGGACAAACCGATCCTCTGGTGCAAATTCATCGTCCTAGGTCTGTTCAACGTTCTCATCACGCCCGTAGACTCCGTGAACGAATTCATCTCCCTTCGCGAGATGTACATACGACTGACAGACGTGATCTGCGAACCAGGCGGAATAAAATCGAGAACTTTCTCCCAAATACTCTCCAACTCACCATGTCCATGAAAATATTCTTGCCACCGAGGCTAAAGTCTTGGTGATTTCCAAAGAAGTAGATCTTCCTGTTCGGGCACCTTTTCGGCCATCTCACCTTCTCGATCCAAAGGCTTCCCCTGCTCAACGGCACCATGTCGCCCCGTTCAGGCTCCAACACGATCTCGAACTCGCCCCCACCATCCCCCTCTCTCCCGTATCCCGCCCTCGACACCTTCACCTCCACCTCGCAGCGACCGATGCTAGAGTTCTCCATGGCGACGAACCGATCGTGTTCCCTGCCCAGCTCGAAGCCGACGTTCAACTGGCCGAGGATCGCCCTCATCATGTCCAACCTCCACCTGGCTATGTCCCTCGACACCACCAGATTCTCTATCCCCCTCGCGTTGAACCGGATCTCGAACGGTTCCTCGTCCACGAATCTGTCGCTCATCGGGACGAAATCTCGCGCGTTCGAGCATCTCTCGTCCCGAACGGGATCGGGTCTCACGATCCTACCGTTCGTGAAACGGCAGTTCAACGTGTCGCTCCCTTTCGCTCGACACTTGAGCTCGGACGCGATCATCGAGCAGATCGTGTCCTCGTCGTGGATCACGTTCGAGAGGGACATGTTCACCGACACGTCGTAAGTGGATTCGGGCCCGTAACGTTGCCAATCGGAATCGTCGTGGTGGTACTCGTGGCCGGGTACGCGCGCCGCTGAAATATAGAGAATGGGGGATCGCGGGATACAAGGTGATGGAGTGTTCAGAGGGAGGGTATTATTAAGTAATTAGTTGAAATGAAAGTGGCTAATTATTTTAATGCACGAGTAACATTTATTCGTAGCTATTGTAGTTGATCCGCTTTTCGTGTAAGTTAATAGAGGGGTATCAAGTTACGTTGAAAAAGTAACTAGTTGAAATTAAAGTTGCTTCGAGTGATTGTTCGTATTTATTCGCTTTTCGCGTAACTTAATTATTATTCCATAGCAGAGGGAGGGGTTATCATTTTGAAAAGGTAACTAAAGATAATGCTTCGAATAATTATTTACTTACGAATAACATTTATTCGTAGCTATTGTAGTTGATCTGTATGTTAATTATTATAGCAGAGGAGGGGTATCAAGTTACGTTGAAAAAGTAACTAGTTGAAATTAAAATTGCTTCGAGTGATTATTTATTTGAATAAATAACATTTGTTCATAGCTATTGTAATTGATCCGCTTTTTGTATAATTTCGGTTTTGTTTGGTTTGAACACAAAAATTAATAGTTGAAATTACGAATAAAGTTATAAATTTATTGTTCAAAACAGAATAATTGAAAATAATTGTAATGACTGAGATTATATGAAAATCGGATCAACTGTAATAGCTACGAATAAATGTTATTTAAGCATTTTAATAAGTAATTACTTGAAGTAACTTTATTCGAGATTTTTAACTAGATTTTTACTGTTTTAACGAATTCTGATTTTGAACGATAAATTATCGAAGTAACTTAATTTTATTCGTAACTTCAACTATTAAATTTTGCCCGTCTACTGTTCACTGTTGAAAAGAAGTCTGGTCTGAGAAGGCAGAGAAATAAGAGGAATCCTTCATTAAGAGTCTATCTTCATTTCAGAGTCGCTTTGTCGACGATTCTGACACGACACATTATTACAATAATAGAACAGATATTGAATTGAATCGTAGGATTAATATACGTGATATCACGCTAAAAAATGCGTGTGAAAATAGACGTTTCCTTCCACATTAATCACAATCCATTCCTTCTTCGAGACTTTTTTCCAACAATGAACAATACGATCATTGTAACGCATGTGTGAAATCGATTCTGCAATTATTAATGCGTTGATCACAGAATTCTGTCGCAGTTTGGAATTGGTAGCTTTTCACTGAATCTTCGAATTAATGATGTGTAATGATTATTTTAGTTTGAAGATGATGATCAGCATGGGTTAAAGTTAATAATAATTATAGGAATTAAAATTATACGTTACTTGAGATAGATGAATTTTCACAATTTTGTTTTTTTTTTAATTAAACATCTTTTTCCGATTGTGGATCTATCGATGGCTTAAAATCCTCGTGATAATATCGAGCGACTTTCAACGAGCTCAAGATTTTATTGGAAAAACTTAAATGGAATCCTTCGAACAACGAGCCAAATGGACGAAATAATAAATCTGCGATACCGACGAATGATCGATGATATTATCGATCGCGAGAAATATTTTTACCTTATATAAAGATAGAACGTGTTCAAAAAGTGTACAAAATAGAGTTGAAAAAGATACGATACGATAAATGTTTCATTCATGGGATCGTTGAGGGAACGAAAGCAGACAGATATACATACCCAACAGATATGGCAGAATGATTATCAACATGTTGGAAGGCTCCTGCTGAGACGACTGATGCGATCGCGTTCTATCTGTCTTCTCTTTATACGACAGATAACTTGATTCATTACCGTCTCCTTGAAAATAATTTCATTAACGACCGTTTCCGTGCGGATCGTGGTTCCTCCAGACATCTTCCGTGTCGTTTCACGTGTCTGATATCATTTTCTATCAGTTCTCGGATCGTTGAGACACGCCTTTTACGCCAAATTTTAATCGGGTTCTCGAGCTACGTTTAACCGAATCTAAACCGAAGAACGTTTATCTTTTTGTTTCGATTGTTTCAATTGCTGCATTGTATTAAAATTTGAACGTTAAGATCATGTTAAGGGTGTTTCGAGGGTGAGGAATGACCCCTCGAGGATGAAGCTCATTTGAAGTTAAGGTAGAAGATCGTGTAACATTATATGAAAGATCGAAAGTGTCAAAATTTCAATCTGTTTAAAAATGTGTTCGAGATAATCGTTCGAAAGTAGAACACCACTTTGAATTCTTTCGAAGAAAAAGAAACCTATTACGTCAAATCTATAGAAACAATATGAACAACAACAAAAGTAATTCGCAAACTATTTTATTCGTAGATTTTTTTCATTCCTGATTAATTATATTATTGAAAAGTGTTTGAAATGATCATTCAAAAGTAGGACACCATTTTGAAGGAAAAAAAATCTATAAAAATATGAACAACAACGAAAAGTAATTTCTTCTACAAACTACATTTATTCACAAATTTTTTTCGCATCTGATTAACTGTATTATTATATCGATGCTTCATACATTGATGAACGAAAATTGAATCGAATCTTTCGTTCAGTCGTCGCAATATAATCACTTTTACGCGAAATTAGTTGAACAACGGGTTTGTCTAACATAAAGTCGAATTCTTCGACGCAGTTCTTAAACAAGAAAAAAATTCTACACTTAAAAATTTGAATATGGCGTTAACTTTTATGTCTCAATCATCGCACCGAGCGAAACGATTCGATTAAATAAATGGCACGTCTCGGGTTCGCGTAAAATTTTAAAAGGACATAACGGAATAGATTTAATTGTTTTCCTCGCTTCGAGGACGCCGGTGACACCATTTACGCCGATATTGGATTAAACGCCGTGTGTACGTATCGTGTGTATCTTCATTCTCAATCCACGCGCGACACGATAAGGTTCTTGCTCTCTTCGAATCGAATTATTTAAAACTGTCTTATTTAAAACACGATATTAAATTAACAAACGCGCAACGCTTTCGACTCCTTTGTTTCCAATCTCTTCCCCATTAAGATCGAGACTAAGATTAATCGAAGAAAGCAAAAACGATTCGAACGATTATTTAATCTACTCCTTGAAGTAATCACGATCCGTTCGAAAGAAATAAATTGCCAGTTATATTTAGTTTATAAGAGCAACGCTCGAGCGGATGGTGAATGGACTGGATTCTTCCCGAGTATACCAGGGAAGAAAGAAATTATCGACCAAAAGTTGATTTGTACAAACGAAATGGCGCTTTATTATTTACAGAATCGAACGAGAAATACACAATTACGGGGCTATTTACAACAATAGTGGTACTGTACTCGTTGAAATTTTATCGTCATTCGAGGCCTCTCCGAACGAATCAAACGATCAAACCTCCAACGACGAGTCCCCGTCGTCCTCCTCCATCGAGTTCTCCATCAGCCATCTGCCTATGAACATGCTTGCCAGCTCGGGATCCTTCACTTCCGGCGGATCGTCCCTGGCCGCCAAGATCGATTCCAGCCTCACGCTTATGTTCTCGTACAACGTCGTCACCATCCCCTCGGACACCTTGCTGGTAGTGATCACGTTCGTGGTCCCGGATATGAACTCGGTCGAGGTGATCGCTATGTGACTCTCCGACGAGCTCTTCGAATCGTAAAATCGTTTATAAAAAAATAAATAAAAATCCAATCGTCTCGATGAGATACTCACCACGGTCGACACCACGTCGCTCATTTGTTTCATACCCTCCGCGCTGCCGAAGAAATAGGGCACCTTGTGCGTGCACATGTGAAGGTTCCTGATCTTCCTGATCTCGACCAACTGGCCGTCCTTCAACCCGAACACCGTCTCCAAAACGTAATCCCGATCCCTGCGGCGCAAACCCGCCACCGCGTTCCGCTCCACGGTGAACATGGTCACGCACTCGCCCTGAGTGAAGTTCTCCATCAGCTCGAACGTTCGATCGTATTCCCCGACCAGGGCGCCGATGTTCAACTGGCCGACGATCACCCGGATCATGTCCAACTCCCTCGGCTGCACGTTCTCGTTCACCACCAGGCTGTCCAATCCCTGCTCCGTGAACCTGATCTCGAACTGCTCCTGATTGATCTCGTACGCCTGCTGCCTCGAGACCCGGCTGACAGGGATGGCGGGCGCGCCTGGATCCAAGCTCTCGGTCACGTAACTGTCCGCCTTCGACTCCCGAAAATGGCAGGTGAGCGTGTGGAACCGTTTCGGCTGGCACACGAGCTTCGACGCCACGTTCAACCGGATGCTTATGTAGCTACCCTCCTCGGGGATCGCGGTCGAGTTCACTTGGACGTGGAAAGTGTACTCGGGCCCGTGCCTCCACGGCGCGTCCAGGGAGACGCGCGCGGCTGAAAAAAACGTGAGATTCGTTTAAACCGCGTGGACGGTTACGGTGCGCGCGCGTAGCAGCGATCGCCGCGCCACCTCTTCGTCTCTCCCTCTTTCGTCCCTCGCCAAATTGAATGATTGGGGCTGGGGCTCGAGTGGATTAGGCCTCTCGCCAATCGACGAGTCACGTGACGCGAGTGTTCTTTATAGCTTTGACTTTCCGTCTCCGGGAGGAGAACGCGGCGGGAGGAGGATGCTTTTCCAATCGCGTCGCGATCTGTCCGCGAGATATCGGAGAAGGGAGTGGGAGGGGAGGAGGATATAAAGGGAGGATGAAGTATAGGGGGGAGGAAGATTGGATTTAATTGGATTAAAAGGTTGGGATCGACGAGGATTCGGATGGAGGAGGTTGGTTGTTGAGTGGAGGGCTTAGAGGGGGGGAATAAGGGATTCTTACCTAAGAAAAATGGCACTACGTTCAGCACTACGTTCATGCTGGCACCGTGCAACGTTCCAACTACTTTAGTGGAGTAGTAAGCGGTGTCGGGGCCGCTCTTATACCGTGGCTAAACTGCACTACTGACCTCTTCTTACGATTAGCAAGCTCCAATTTACCGAAGCCTGCTCTCTCTTTCCAGTTGGAAAATAAAGCGTGCGTGCGGTGGACGGATAGTGGCGGGTGACAGGTTTGGAGAATTGATACGGTGGTTCGAATCGGGGTCACCGCGGCACCCTCCGCGACCCGTTAACACGAAACTGGCCGCCAATTACCTCGCGTGTCAACGACCCGCGTGTCGAGACGCGTTACCGTCCTCCTCTCCTCCCTGTTTTTCTCCTCTTTCCGCATTGTTCTTTTCTCAACGGGTTCCCCCCCCCCTCCCCCCCTCTGAGAGACGGAAGGAAACGTCGACCGAAAGATCGATCGTGCGACTTTTCGAATATTTCGAATTGAATTTCGAATTGACGTGCGGTGTAGTTTTTGGATTTTGCCACGCGAATTTTGGACGTGTGTCGAAGAGATTTTTTTTTTTTTTTTTTGGAATTTTGATGAACGATGAAGGTGTCTTTCTTTGCTTTTGGAACTTCGATCAACTAGATTCTACGTCGATTCGAAACGTTAATTCTCTTCCGATATTTGAACCGATATTTGTAATATTGTTTGATAATATAGGAAAAGTGAAGAGAAAGAAAGAATCAAATTTCTTGTGAGCGAACGACAATTTTAGTTTATAGCTGATAGGTCGTTTAAAATTCTAAGTTTCGCGCGTCGACGACAGTTTTGCCACAACAGTTTGTTCACGCGTCTCTCAATTCGTACTTGCGCTGGATCGGCTAACGACAAACGAATCGATTACGTTTTCAGTTTTTGAAATAAATTAAATACAATCGATGGATTTTTGCTGGAAAAATTGCTCGATAGATTTCTCAAGAATCACATTTTATTTCCAGATTTATAGGATAGGAAATAAGCTACCGTTCGTACATTTGATAAGATAAATCGAAATTCTTCCTTATTCGTCTGATTGTCCAATTTCCTGAAACTTTGTAATGCTCGTGTTCTTCACTCTTCTTATCTCTGGCAAGCTTAACTGATTCGCCAACAAATATTATACATACGTATCGTAATAATAATTCATTCATTATTCTTCTCGATTCTCAGATCGTCGAAGTAGATCTGATTTCCAAAATCATATTAAATCAGGGATAAATCGAATTCGACAATCTTTGTTTCTTCCAAGCGCCGTTTGTGTAGCTTCTTAAGCCGATGTTTCAGATTCGAATTTTTATATTTGTTCTGCTCCATGTGAATATTTAAAACAGTATCAATGGCGTTGAATGTGTATCCATTTTTCCAGTGATGGTCGATTGGTGAACAAATCCCTGAAAGGAAAGAATAATTATCCAAGAACAAATCGAGTCTAACCTATGAATCCTTTCCAGATTTTTGCATCGAGAAAGGACGAGAGGGTGGAAATTAGGTCGCAGGAAGCGGTCCTCGAAGAAATTTTGCATAATCGGCGGCGAATCGAATCGGGGAGAGGTTTAAACGGTGCTAACGCATCGTTGCAACTAGCTTGACCCGTCCTTCGTGAATCATTGACGATACCAACCAGTGTATTAATAAGAGGGCAATCGAGGGACTTAACTGACCTAGGAGAAACGGCACGTTTGGAACGAAGTTTGTGCCGATCGAAACGAGTTCCTTTTCTCCTTGATGATGATGATGTGACAAGCTTTTTTATAAGTCGTCGCCTCGATTTAGAGCGCGATTCGATGCGGATAATAACAAATTTTCTTCGAACGAATTACCTTCACGTTCAAACTGAAATGTAATACTATGATACTCGTCGTAGCCTTGATCGTGCCACGTGCAGGCGAATATTGCTTCGCGAGTTTGACAGAAAATAAAATTGTATCGCGATAAAAGTGTAGATGTTAAAATGTAGAAATTATCGTAACATGTAATTAAAAATATTGTATAAAATGTAAAATTAGGAAAATAGTTAGTTCACGTAATTGGTGGATATATTAATAATTGAAGTTTGCAAAAAAGTTTCTTAAAGTTTGGAATATCTCTGAATTATTCGTCGAGTTTATTCGGTTTATTTGTCGAGTCTCTCGTTTAAGTGATTTCACGTGAACACGCGACAATTAGTGTGCGCGAGAGATCGGGTGGGATAATCTGGTGAATTTAGATTTCGAGATATTTTGATTATTTGGAATTGGATTATAAATTGTTTTAAATAATGTTGAATAATTTTTGAGAGAGGAAGGAAGAAATGGTGTAGAGATAATAATTTTTTATTTTTCGTTAAATATTGTCTTGAACTTTCGATTGTATATTATTAATTTCATTTTTTTCCTTTTTTCCTTTTTTATTATTTTCGAATGAAAAAGAAGGGCGAGTGAAAGTAAAAGTGATTAGGAAACAAATTAAGAAAATGTTGAAGTTGAAGAAAAATTGAAGGATACCGTTGGTAAAGACCTTGAAAGTGACATTTATCTCGTAGAACAAAGAGAGTAATTTTGTCATTATCGCGTTGATCAGCAGCAATGATCTCGTTTGCAATACTAAATTAAATGACGTCGACAACTAAATCGATAATAGGCGAAACAATGATGGTCTTTTTTTGTAAATATCAAGAAAACTGGTTCGTACTTAAGTGATTCAATTTCCTCGGTTCGTTTAGGCTCTTTAAGCACACAGTCACAGTCTTTTTAAAATTAATTTATTTTCTAACTGCTCAAACTGAATTAAATTTTCCAAATTTTTTTATGATACGATATTAATATTATTTTTTATTTTACGCGCTGAGATTGTATTTTTCTTATAAATCTATAAAATAAATAAAATATAATAAAATAATAATAAAGACAAATAAATATACAAAAGAATAAATTAATAGAATTATTAAAAGTTTTTAATCAACGAGTAATTGGTAATGAATATGATAAAGTTAATCAGATATCGAAACTGTCTTTTGAGCGTATTAATTTTGTAGAATAAATACATAGACAAGGAGAGTAAATAATTGAAAAAGGACAAATAGCTTAAAAATTTGGGAATAAACGCCATCTCTAGAGCATAAATGAAACTAACATATAGACAAGGAGAGGAAATAGTGGAACAAAGACAGAGATAGTGTAAAAATTAGGAAATCAGCGCCATCTCCAGAGTGCCGCAAATGAAACACAGCAAATAGGAAAAGGATAGAGATAAGGTTAGAATTGATCATTAGTGCCATCTCTTGAGTGTTAAAAACATCTCTTCAAACACCGGATAAAGTAGAGTAAGAATTATAGATTAGTGCCATCTCTCGAGTAAAAAAAAAAAACATTTTCTTAAAAACAATATATTCACATTCAATAGATGGCACTGAAAGTTAATTTTTATTCTATCTTTATACTTTTTTTAATATTTATTCTCTTTTCTCCTTGCGTTTCATTTGCGGCACTCTAGAGATGGCGTTAATTTCCTAATTTTTATTCTACATTTATCCTTGTCCTATTAATTCCTCTCTTTATCTATGACTTGACGCGTGATCATAGAGGAGACATGTCGATTGAATATTTTCATCATTTCTCTTTTAAAATTACAATATACGTTTATTTTTAATACAAAAAAAATACAAATATTATATACATTATATTTAATTTGTAATAACTTGATACATACATAATTTTTAAATATTTTAAAAAGTTATTATATTGTATATAAGTATTTAGAAAAATTATTTTAAATTGTTTTAAATCGTGTTTTCATGTATTCTTAAAAATAATTATACTAGATGTGGAATATTATAAAATAATAATAATTTTCAATCTGAGTATTGAATTGCTTAACGAAAAATATTTAATACATCATTCTTATTTCATCATTTGAATGATAAAAATAAAAAATTGATGTAAGTATGTATTTTTTCCTTACAAAAAAGAAACATTTATTATTTTTTAATTAATTTATAAATAATTTATAAACTAACTATTTGTAAACAAAATAATATATATTCAACAGTGATTCACGACGCAAGATGTAAACTTGATCATAACCTGTTTACTTATTTAACAATAATCACTCTTTTTGGTTTATATTTATATCAATTAAGAATTCGTTAAAGTTAATATTATTATAAATATGAATGTCAAAGTATCCAGAAAATCCTACTTAAATTAATAAAACCATAACGTAAGTTGTATATTACTATTTAAAAAATTTCTTATCGTATTACGAATGAAATGTAATTGTATGTAATGACTCCGTCGTAAATTTCTTTTTATTAATTATAATCTTGATCGTAGAAAAATGATTAATTTGTTTCATCATTTTAACAAAAATGAAAATTATTCATCATTGTTGAACAATTATTTTTGATATCTCAAACCGATGACTGATGAGGAAAAAAAATCGCATCACTGCCAGAGGATTCCAATTATCAAGAACAACAAGATGTGTGACCCTGACTACAAAAATCATTATCCCTTCTCTATTTTTTCACTTTACCAATACATGCCAATGATATATCAATAGAAAATTGAAGAAATTCTACGAACTCAAAGAAGAAGCGAAGTATGAGAATTAACTTGTTACGAATTATTTTATGATTTTGGAATTTCCACGATATTTTGACAAATATCTTATTATACTTAAATATTAATGATACATGTTGAATGAAATGTTTTTGATCAATTGGAAAATTTAGAAATATAAACAAAGTATCCAATCGTATACGATGTTTATATCTATGTAGTTTTCTTAACTTTTGACATACGTACATGTGTTTCTCTCTCTGTCATTCTGTTTATATTGTCGAATGAAAAGATTGTTTCTTCGAGATAATTTCTTTATTCAATAGAATACAATACGTATGTATATGTATATATAAATACAATATTTATCAACATATATATAATTTCATTTTATAAAATAAAGTATATTTTATGCTTTAAGCGTAGGAAAATCGTAAACTATGTTTATGTAATAAATTTTAAAAAAATATTATTTATCAGAGATCATATTATAATTAATTCGACGTATTAATTTTTTCTTGTGAATAAGATTTTTCGAAATGTCTCTATATTTTCTTTGTATCGAATATTGAATAAAAATGATAATGTAAAATTATATAAATGAATAAAATAGTGAATGACATTAAGATAAACATTAACATACTGTCATACACATAATAGCAATTATTCAGAAAAGGTCACTAATTTTACGTTATGTGTAAATCAAATATATAAACAAAATTTATTATGACTAATTCCATAATATTCTATAATTATTTCTCCTGCTATATTATATTATAATTAACGAGAATAAAATATTTATTTTGTATTTAAAAAATTATATAAGATTTAAAGAAAAAATATTCTAGAGAAAAATAAAAAAAAATGTTAAATTCTCAATTATCGAATTTATTTAGATAAAAAATTTTAAAGTTAAAAAATGCTTTTGGATCAGAATGCTTTTGCTAAATTGATTCATTGGTTTAAAATATGCGTGTCAAGGAAGATTTCACGAAAGTTTCATTCGGCCAAAAGGAGAAAGGCATTAGTGATGACGCTGAGTAAAGTTTTTCCGTATGACATAAAAAATTTCATATCTTAAAAATTGTGCATACGCGATTAGAATACGGGAAGTTACAATGATTTCCCATCGATGTATGACTCGATTGCATCCATGGTGGGGAATCCGGTCTGCGGATTTATATACAACAGACAGCATCGCTTTGAATAGATTAGTTTCGAACAGTGAAATCAAATAGTTATAATAGTTCATTAAAAAACGTCATAAATATTTCCAAGCTGTATAATTTATTAAATTTCTGTATTTTAAACGACACATCATCCACGTGCAATATGGTAAGTAAAATTTATTATAAAACATTCTTATCTTATAAAATGAAATTTTATCATTTTTTAAATCTTTACATTAATTTTCCAATATACATATATTTTTCTTAAAAAATAAATTAATATTATTCTTTCGATGAATAAAAATAAAAAATATAATTAAGAACAAGTTGACTTATTTTTGTAAAATGTTAGGTTATAACATTGCAAATACAGGTTGTATCATTTATTGCAAATACAATTAAATTTGTGTAATGATGTATCACATATTCAATGACTTTTTTCTAAATTTGTTGTTACAGATAAAATACGTAATAATTTTATACACCATTTTTATTCTGTACAATCACAAAGGCCACCTTTTGCCGGAAACAGTAAATCCTATCCGGGCGTTCTTCCACAATATTTGGAAGAACAGAAAGCAATTAATAATATTAATAAAGAACAATTGCAAGTCGACTTGATACGAGCAGTAGCGATTCAATAGCATTAGGAGCAGCTCCTGTTATTACAACTTCGACATCAACGATTCCACCAGATTTGCCAGTGGATGCTTTGGGAAATGTTGACTTAGTAAATCGGATTAAAACTTGGCCAAGAGAAAAACAACCGTTCTGGTATATCAATTGGAGACAGATTCAAGAACATCGTGGTGATTCAAAAAATAGAGCTCAATTAGTTCAAACGGAACCGAATCAGAGATCATTTTTTGCGGGATAAAAAAAAGTTTGAAATTTTGTTATTCTATATTTAATTCAAATCGACAAACGCTACCATTAACTTGTTTTGCTAGTCAAATTGAAAACTTTTTTGCGTAGATTTAATCGATCACTGATATAGTTACTTTATCTATATAAAATTTAATATCGAATGATACGATGATTACGATCATTAAAATAAAAATACGAAAACTTCAAATCGTTATCACGTAATATTTATATCAACGAAGAAACGTTATTTTATAGAAAGAAAAAGAGCGTTTAATTTTTTTTTAAAGAAAGAAAAGAGTATTTAATTTTATTTTTGAACTACAGTTTTTTTTATAAACAATAAAAAGATATTAATTAAATTAGATAAAATACTTGAAAAACTTTAAATTTCTAATCCACCTGCTGAGCAAACCACAATCGCCAATAAGATATCACGACGAGACAGGACAGGATAGAAATCCAAGCATCTGATTGGATCGTGTAAGTTGCGCACGAGTAGCCGACTATACGTCGATGACGTCACGTCAGTCCGTCCAATGCAAGCGCTTGGATCTCAGTAATAACCCTATGTGCGTGCTGTACGCCGAAGCGTGCTACTCGTATTCGGGTGTACAAACGCGAGAGAAGTGATACAATATCGGTCTGTGAAAGATGTTACCCGACAAAGACATGCCAGTCAAAACTTTCGTTCGATAGGTTGTTTTTTATATATTAAAGAACACGTATACTCTACGAGCAAATGTATTCGAAGAATTGTCGTGTTAAGAAAAAGATAGACTGTACGCAATCCGCCGTACCTGACAGTCCACGCGGCCCGGCCCCAAAACACTTTCGCCTCGCTATATACACGAGAAATCGCATCGTGTTTCATTCACAACGCGAGCGCCACTGGCAATGTCGGGAAGTGACAGCCCAACATTCTTTCACGGCCAGCCCTGGTCCAGCTGGATCGAAAGAATCGGACGAGACAAGCCGTTGAGTAAGTGCGCTGAATCTCATCGAAATGTTCGTTCGTTTGCTGTCGCTGCTTTAAAACTGCGACAACGACGAGCGTCTAGCTCGTGTACCTAACCTCAACTTCGATGCTCCTTTGTCCGTCGACTTGACGCAGGGCATCATTAGGGCCCATCACATGCATTTATTTAAAACGGTTGTCAACAATTGTCCAGTGCGCTTCATGGTTGATATTTTCTCGCAACATCACGCGTATTTTAACGGCCCTTTCCACTGACAATTATGTAATTTGTAGCGAAACTGACTGTGAAATACGGAGCGTCGAAACTTTAGCTTTAGAGCATATAGTATATTGGCATGGATCACGAAAATTTCGCGAAATTGATCTCAATCGAATCGCGCTATTCGGTAGATCTTGTTCGAACCATACATTGTACACTTGTATTTTTATATTTATGCTCTTTCTCTCTTATAAGATTTTTTGTTGAAAGAATTATGCATGTATGAAATGTATACATAATAAAAGTTGTTTACCCAGAAGTTTGTGTTTTTTATTTCACATTTCTGCTTAGAAACTGATGGAAATGAATGAAAAAAAATCTTTTAAGGACAAGATTCAATAGACATGAAGCTAACAATATTTTTTGATTTGTTGTAATCTTTCTTAACATGGTAATTATAATTATGATATAATGATCTTGAACTTTATACTTAAGCATAAGAATAATCATTTTATATTTTCTTTTGAAATATTTATCTTCATTATATATTAATCGTACATAACTAAATGATTTGCTATTGAAATGTCCTTGTAGCCTATACTGATTGCTTTATTATATATTCCATAAAAAAAACTTGATTTGTTTCAGGCGATGAAGAATCAGATGCTCAACTCTCTAGCTCAGTTACACGGCTCTCAGCAGAAGGTAAATAATATTTTATAATCTGTACTACTTTATAATATTTTATTTATTAGATTCGATATAAGCCTCAAGAATTAAAATCTTACACTTTTTTATAATAAAGTAATTTTTGTTTCAGATATTGATTTATATGGATTTTGTCCCGAAAGAGATACTTTTTACACGGTAGTGTGTGAAACCTGCCATGCAATAGTCAAACCACAAGCTCTCATTCAACATATGGGTACGTTATTTATATTATCATTCTATTCATTTTATTCGTTATATTTCCAAGTAAAATCTATTATATTTATTAAGTAATGAAACAATTTTAATATAATATAATATAAAGTAAATAATATAAAGAATACAAATGATTTTTAGATCACTACTTATCTTTTTCATCAACATAATATTCAAATATTATATTTTTCTTAATTAGATATAATTAGATATAATATAACGTACATACAGCTCACATTTCTGGGTCAAGTATATCTTGTACTTATTATCAACTCTATATTAAACATTGTCTATATTTTGCCACAGAAAGTCGCCATCCTTCCGGCACGGTCAATTTTCCACCTCCTTCTACCCCAATTGTAAAAACTCCTTTGAAGACACCTTATTGCAAAGTGTCGAAATTGAAAAAGACACAGTCATCGCCGCAGATCTCGAGTAGCGGGAGCAATAAGATCAATCACGCGAATGTGAAACGGAACACGGAACAACCTACCATCTCAACGAGCTTGTCATCTACGTCAATATCGGTCCCCTCGTCGCCTCGATCACCCCTTGAGTCATTATCATCGTCTGTTCAGACATCGAACTCAGGCTCGGGATCGGTGATCGCTTCGAGCCCAGTGAAAAGTCCGGGTACGGCGACGGGTCAACCTCGTCGGAAGAGACTCAAAACTGACCGATCGTTGCTCAAGGATCGGGAATACGATCCAGACAGGCATTGCGGAGTGTGGAACGAGGAAACCGGCAAACCTTGCACCAGGTCGCTCACGTGCAAAGCGCACACGGTCTCGTTGCGCCGGACGGTCGTCGGTCGGAGTAAAACTTTTGATAAACTCCTCGCGGAGCATCGTGCCTCAAAAGATGTCCCGAACAGGCCGACAAAAGTGACCGTGACCGGTACGGTGACCGTATCTTCCGCGACTTCGAGCTTGAATCCCTTAACACCCACCACTCCCGCCTTGACCATCGAAACGGAAGCACCCAGCTCGCCACCCGTTTTATCGCTGCCAGACACGTATCCACTGCCAAAGGTAAGGAGTTACCGTATCGATATTATTGTATCTCTTTTGTTTTTTTTTTTTTTTTTTTTTTTATTCTTCGATTTTTCTTCTGTGGTATATACATATTCTTGGTAACACAGTGTACGGTGTGATGATCCTTCGTGCTGCGACGTCCTCTTGTTTTGTTATTGTTAGTTTTTCTTTTTTTATACATATATGTATAAATTAGTATCACTATTTATTGTATTTTGTCGATCATATCTTGTAAATGGTGATTTTTTGGGGGGAGGGAAAGATGTATATAATTATTGGACGAAAAATTTAAAGTATTTTTGTATTCTTTGGTTTGGTTGACTGGAAATGAAAGTTGTTTTGTTGGGTTGAAAGAAAAATTGATTTTTCATTGGTGTTCAGAGATTGTTGTTTCCTTTCATATTTCTGTTTGAGATATCTCTGTGATCGTCGTGTGATCGTGAATGTATCGTTAGGAACATTGTATATCGTTTATCAAGAATTTTGAAAGCTTTGAAGGAAATTTGCTTCAATGACTAAAAATTCTATAATTAAAATTCGGTTTTTTTTTATTATAATTAACGTATTCCTTATTTAATTTCATTTTATAAGATATTTATGCATGATCCGATATTTGATGTATACGATAAAACTTTCATTTCTCGTTATCCTTTGATAAAATATGGTGAAACCAAGCGAGTAGTGGAGTAATTTATCTTTTTCTCTATTATCTATTCAAATTCACTTTCGAACTTCTTTATTTCAAACACTTTTTTTTTCTATATATTTCATTTTTGGAAGAAATATATTAATTCTCGAAAAATTTAGCACATCTTTTTAGAGCGAACATTAGCTAGAATTTCGAATTTTTAGAATAGTTGCAAATTTTCAACGGCTTCGAATGCTTCGAATTCGAAAGAAAAGTCTATAAAGATTCGCAATTCAATAAATTTTGAACATTCTTCTCTTAAATATTTCATTGGGAATAAAATTCCGCAGCGTCTTTAAGAAATGTACGAATCCTTGTAGGGTTGTCATGACTACAGATCATGTCGATCTTAATTAAAAAAAAAAAATAAATGCTGGTCGTGCGTTATATCGATCGCTTGCAAGTATTTTTAATAGAAACTAGATTCGATTCGTAGGTGATATAACAATCTGGTTTCCCGTCGATTAAAATTCACTCGTTCCTTCCAAGTTTTCGAGAAGGTGTTAGGCGTCAGGTATCGATCGATACCCGAAAATCATTCGCTTTCGTAGATCTCTTAAGACGCACTAGACGGAACGTAGCGAGGCTAAGAAAGAAAAAAAAGAAAAGAAAAGAAAAGAAAAAAGGTTAGAAAAAAAGAAGAGAAAAGAAACGGAAGAAAAAGAAAGTAGTGTATGTAGCTGACAAACATGGATCGATCGATGACCCAGACGAGTCAGCTGCGACCAGTAGTCCGCAAGTAGGGTGTCGGTTGATACCTGTTTTCTGTTTTTGTTATTGCAGGCTGTTGATTTGCTTTATCGGTGTCTGGCCCCGCATGGCTCCACTAAACCTGTAAGGCATGGTTCTTTTGGGCACTTAAACGCCAACACATCTCGTATGGGCCCTACGATTCTTATTGCGAGTCGCCAACGCTTCTCTTTTTTAGACCAAGCTCGAAGAGGACTTCGCCAACGAGGAGCTGAGGAGCCTGGAGTCGACGCTGGTCAACTCGACCGGTTCGTCGCAATCGAGCTCGATGATGGCGCCGATATCCGTGGTGTTGCCATCTCTATCACCGTTGCCGGCTAATAACGAGGAATCGTCGTCGGTCGCCACCCTGATACCGGGCACAGCATCCCCGGCTATACCTGTGCCAGCAACACTGCCAGCCACGTGTACGCAACCGTCGTTGGTCACGACGGTCCTCGAGGCTGAGACACCGATGGACATCGACCAGGAAGCGGCGATGACCATCTACTCCCCCGTTTACAAGGATAAATCGAAGTTGCTGGTCGAGCTGCCACGCTCGAACAATATCGCCCATTCTCCTATATCGTCTATGCCCGGTTTGCTGTTCGAATCGATGGATCAACTCGAGCAACTGGAACAATTGGAACAGCAACAC